TTTTTTGCCATTTCCACCCTCTGAGGCTGAGAGAATGTGACTTGGCCACAGTAATCCAGTGCTTTGGAGTAATTTTTGGCTTATTTTGACCCTATCATGAGGGTTTTCTTGGCAGATTTCTTCAAGGGGGAGACTCTTTCCACCCCCGTCCTGGGTGCTTCAATGGACTCTTCCTGGGATGGGAGGATGTCCTCTGACCCCAGGAAGAGTCCATTGAAGCACCCAGGACAGGGGTGGAAAGAGGAGGAGCCCATTCAACTACCCAGGAAAAGGCGACTCTTTCCACCCCCGTCCTGGGTGCTCCAATGGGCTCTTCCTGGGATGGGAGGAGCCCACTGGAGCACCGAGGCTGAGGCTGAAATGAGGCCTACTTTTAGCCTAGGCCTCGGCAGTTACTTGTTTAGTCTGCCCTCAGCCTGTATATTCACCCTCGTTTTGGGGAAGAAAAAATGCGTCTTATATGCCGAAAAATACGGTACAGCCCAGCTCCACAGCCTAAGAATTTCCCTGGCACAGTGCAGATTTTTCCCTCAAGGGACAGTCATCATCATCATCAGAAGAAGAAGAAAAACATACTGTATATACTTATGTATAAGTCTAAAAATTTTAGCCAAAAAAATTGACTCAAAAAACCTGAGTCGACTTATTAATAGGTCAATGTAGGTACTGTACTTTAATTCTTATATAAAACAAGTAACCATCCCCTGGTGAAAGGCAAGTGTGTAATTTGTCCTAAAGGCATTGATGCCTTTTGCTCTCTCATCCATCCAACCTTTATTATGAGCACAAACAGTTATGCCTGCTGGGATTTTGTAAGTTCTTTGGCATTGTTTTCCCTTTGCTTCATCCTTTACCTCCTTTGTTACATGCTCCTAAATTTTACCCTTAACTTATCCAAGGATCATGTCAAAATCCATAATTTTGTCCCCATAACCTGCCCTTGACTTATAGTTGAATACATATTTACACTTTCCTGTCAGGTAATGTAATAAACATTCTGTTTTATGCCCAAAACGTCAGTAAAAATAAAGTCATCATAAACTTTTCTTGTTGTGATAGCTTGATGCAGTGCAACAAGTAGCTGGGGTGGCCACTTTCTGACCACTCCTTCCCCAATGGAAATGCATCGATCCACACATATACGACCCAAGAAAGCAAAAGAGGAAGCCAAACCTTATGAAATTTTAGTTTATTAAATATGTGTACCTGCAAATTCAGACAGTAGCAACATGAGGGTGGTGGTGCAGGGGTCCAGGCTGTACCGGGTGACACCCCAGAAGGGGGGGTGACACCTGGTCAGTCCTTGGCCCTTCCTGGAGGCCACCAGCTTCTCCTTGGTCCTCCCCAGTGTCCGCTGGCTTCTCCTCAGCCCTCCCAAGGACTGTGCAGCTGCTCCCCAGGGCCGTGCGGGGGCATATCCAGCGTGTCCTGGACATCTCACCCCCAGAAGCCCCATCCCCATGAGTGACCACACCGGGTGACACTGACCCTAGGGATGCAACTGAATTCAGACATAATTCATACCTAGAAACGCACTATGTTTCACCGCAAGGTAGATGGCTGTGCCCTAGTGGCCAGAATGTCTGCACAGTCTGTCGTCCAAAGGCTGATGGCTGAACCTGGACCAAATGAATTGCTCTTTGCTTGGCTTGCAGTGAGTGACAGTGACCAGGAAGATTTCAGTGGCAATGCTGTAATCAAAGTTTGTAAAGCTGGGAACAGAGGAAGAAAACAGCATTGATTCCACTCAGATGGAATCACCCATATTTATATACATTGGTCATACTTCTCTGTTGCATTCTATGTTGCATAACTTTCCATATACTTAGCTGCATAGCAGAGGGACTAAGGAGATTATCCCATTCACTTTAAAGTGACTTATCCACGACAGGATAAAGTCACATTTAATTTTAAAAGTGGGTGTTATCACACTTGGCTGCGGTCAGGCAAGTGCAACCCATATGCAGCCTAAATCCCAGCTGCGTTTATCCAGAAGCTTTTCAAAAACAGAAGCTTGCTATTTTTGAAAAGCTGATAGATAAGCACAGCTGTGATCTGGGCTGCATACAGGTTGCATTCACCCGGCCACGGCTGAGTGCTTTTAAAATTAAATATGACTTTATCCCGTCAGGGATAAGTCACTTTAAAGTGAATGTGATAATCTCCTAACCCCTGTTGTGAATTGCAAGCATCCCCAATGTACATCAGTGCCCAATACACACTGGTCCCAATGTGCATTAGCCTCAGTGTGTATTAGTCCTATTGTGTATGGGCTCCCCATCCCACCAATGGGCTCCCATTGTGCACTGGTCACTTTGCTGGCTCCCTTACATATTACTAGTAACATCAGTCCTTTGCTGAAAACAGACATTGTTAAACTGTTCAGTCCTATTTCTCAGAGACATATATACCTGTATTGAAAGAGATGCAAAAATAAGAGTACATGATGTCAATATTTCATGAAAAAGAGGGACTGATTATTTGATGCGTCTTCTCTGCATTTAAACATCTGTGTATTGTGGCAATGGCTGCTATTGTAGCATGTTATGAAAGAGCAAAAATAATTTCCTATTTCATTTTTCTTAGATATGCTCATAATCATAGATAATAATCAAAAGTGGTTTGCTGTCCTGCTCGGCTTTTTAAGCTGAATGTTCATACTGTACTAAAAAGTTCCTTTTTGGTTTCTATAACTGTGTAACTGAAAAGGACTGAGTTAGGTGTTATAGTCCAATCAAAAAATTTTCCAAGCCCTGCTTTGAAAAGAAAAACAAAATTTTTCACTGTTCTGCTTTAACAGTTTCCAAGCACTGCTTTTAACAGCACATGGAAGCTACAGTTCAACCAAATAAGCTTTTCTAAACAAAAATAAAGTGTTCCAAATTCAACTTTTCATTAGCTCCCATTGACCAATGTCCCTCTCTAGCAACATTTTCTTTTTCCTCCCCCACTGTCCAAGATAGTAATAAATATAATACTACTATTGTTGTTGTTCTGCGCCTTCAAGACATGTCTGACTTATGGAGACCTTATCAAAGGGTTTTCTAGGCAAGATTTGTTCAGAGGAGGTTTGCCATTGCCTTCCCCTGAGGCTGAGAGAGAGTGATTATCCTAAGGCAACTCAGTGGGTTTCATGGCTGAGCAGGGAATTGAACCCTGCTTTCCAGAGTCATAGTTCAACACTCAAACCACTACACCACATTGGCTCACTATAATACTAATATATTATTAAATTATTACTATTAATATTGCTATTAACTTCCAAATATTTTGGTGAGAAGAAGGAGATAGATAGATAGATAGATAGATAGATAGATAGATAGATAGATAGATAAGCTGACCAATAGAGCAATTCTATCCAAGGATGTCTATTCAGAAACAGTCCTACTTAGAACTTGCTTTTTTCCTGGTGCATATCACCTTGGGGGCCCTTGCAGACTGAGAGACACCAAACAAATACTTTAATAAATAAAAAATAAAACTTTAAAATGATAAGAATGTAACATACGCCAGTTGTGAGCTGAATCTCTACTGCAGAAATAATGCAATTTGACAACACTTTAACTGCCATGGGTCAATGCTATGGAATTCTGGGATTTATTAGGTTTGTGAGATATTTAGCTTTTTCTGTCAGAGAATTCTGGTGCCACAACAAATGACAAATCCCAGGATTCCATAGGATGGGGCCATGACAGTCAAAGCAATGTCAAACTGAATTATTTCTGCTGTGCAGATTCAGCTATGGTTTTAATATTTTTAGGGTGGTAGTGGGGAAGACAGAGCTGGAAAGACAGAGGGAGAAGGAAAGCTATGAGTTTTGGTAGGAGCAGTGGCATCACTAGGGTTGGCATCACCCGGTGCACCAACATGGTGTCAACATCTCCTTCATTGACCTCCTCCCATACCACGCCATCCAGAATCCTTAGACATGATTTTTCTGCTAATGTTACTCGTAATTCGTAATTCCTATATATCGCTGAATGTGATGGTAATAGCTGTGACATAAACAGTTGCCCTAAGGCCTAGAGAAGGGAAGCCAGGCCCTTAAACTCAGGGCTATTCCCTGAGCTCTGGGAATCCTAAATAATAACTACGAGCCTTATTACATATCAAAAGTAAGCCAATATGCAGTGAGAAGGAAATGGCTTTCTCTGTCTCTCTCCACATGCTGTTTAAGTACTTCTGTTCTCTTCCCAACAGAGATGGTTGTAAAAGAATGCCTTTTGTCACACTGGGAAAATCCATCTGGCAAATGGCATGCTTGTATGACCATCTCTATCTGGAAGAAGAACAGAAGTGCTTCAAGCGCATGTGGAGAGGTAAGCAGAAAGTCGGTTCTCTCTCACTGTGTGTTGGCTTACTTTTGACATGTGATAAAAGGGGGGAAAAGCTACTTCTTGATAATGCTTGCAAAGAAACGCATCCAAACTATGCTGAGGTAATTTATTTGCAAGATAGACAAATAAAAATTATACAAGCAAGGTGGATAGAAAACAGAAAATTATATAGAAATGTGTACAATATACAGTCAGACCTCCTTATCCATGAATTGTTTATCTCTGGATTCAAACAGCCACAGCTTGAAAATATTCAAAAAATATAAATTCCAAAGAACAAACCTTGATTTTGCTATTTTATATAAGGGACACAATTTTACTTCCATTGTATTTAATGGGATTTGAGGATCCATGGATTTTGAAAATGTAAAAGGTGAAAGGTTTATATGATCTGAAGAGAAACCAGAGTATTTTGGTATCCATGGGGGGCATTGGAGCCAAACCTCAGCAGAAACCAAGGGAGCACATCTTCTCAGAAGTTAAAAAGCTAAATATTGTAGTCTTAAATATTCTGGTGCAATGGTTTCAACATTGGACTATGAATCTGGAGACCAGGATTCAAATCTCCTTTGTCATGGAAATCCACTGGGTGACTTTGGGCAAGTCACACTTGTCTCAGCCTCACAGAAAGTCAGAGGCAAACCCACTCTGAAGAAATCTTGCCAAGAAAACCCTGTGATAGGTTTGCCTTAGGGTTGACACAAGTCAGAAATTACTTGAAGGGACACAATAAAATATCCTGGATGTCACAACAAAGGAAAACAAACTTTGAGAGCACAGCTATAGAATAGACTCCATAGGGCCAAGGAACACAAGGAATAATAAAGCTAAACTCAATTTTAAAGGGAGGGAAACCCACAATTGAGCAATCAGTACTATTACAGCATTAAGCCTTCTAACATCCTTGTATTTGTCCCAATTATTTCAACATACAGTGGAAAAGAGTTTCACATTAATATTAGTCACAGAAAGCAATTCAGGTGGGATATTGCAGCAAAACCATAAGGTATTTGGGAGGGAAAAGGGACTTTGGTTGTTGCAGGTGGTAGAAGAGGGTATCAACTTCTGCAAGGTCCTCCCAAAAAGGCATAGGAAAGCATAAGGTGGTTGTTTGTTGTTTTTGTTGTGTACTATGAAGTTACTTCTGACTTATGGCAACCCTAAGTCAAACATGGGAGCCATGGTTTGAGCATTGGACTAGGACTATAGAGACCAGAGTTGAAATCCTAGCTCAGCCATGGAAGCCCACTGGGTAACCTTGGGCAAGTCACACACTCTCAGCCTCAGAGGATGGCAATGGCAAATCCCCTTTGAAGAAACTTGCCAAGAAAATGCCATTAGGGTTGCTGTAAGTTGGAAATGACCTGAAGACACACAGCAAGAAGTCAAACATATCACAGGTGTTACTAGAAAATGAGAGTTTTTCCATTCCCTTCTCTGTGTGCATAGTTCTGACATGACCCTGAAATGGAAACCTCTAGTCTGCTGTTAACCCAAGAGCAAGATAGTTATGTACACCATTGAAGCCAGGTGGCCACGTAGATTTCAGCCTTAATTTACAGATCAAACACTTAGTTTTAGGACCTGCAAAACAGAAAGATTCACACCTTAAGAGATGGGGAAGCCAGGAAATTTACAACCTGGATGAGTTCTAGCTGCAAGACAGATAAGCCTCACTACCCCCGTCTGGAAACTATCTCCTTCAAGAAAATCCTTAGATGTTTGTTTGACTCTTTGATACACAGCTAGCAACCTTTGCCCAGGGCTATTTTCATCCTATAAATAGTCTACCAATATTCCGGTTAAGTGTGCCTAGTTAATATTCCTGGTGACAGTACATCACTTTGAATTCTGATACAGCTTTGACTTGTTCTGTGCCCCCATCCCTTCTCCCAGTTGAGTCCAACTCCACATCTATCCTTCTGGAGCACTCCAGACAGGTAATATCACCCTTAGAAAGCCTCATGCCTATTCCATGCTAACCTGCTCTATTCTGAAATCTTGTGTGACTGTGTGAATGAATGTATGTCTTTGTATGCTTGATCCCTTAATAAATTCACAATTCATAAAAACCTTGTCTCTATAGACCTATTCCCTTAGCTACTTCTGTAAATGTTGGGTTTGCCTCATGCTAACTATTTGAGCTATATTAAAATTCCCCTAAGTCAAGCTCATATTACACAGGGTTTTCTTGGTCAGATTTCTACATTGCCACGTAACAAAGGTTCCCATGCACTCCCTCTGAGGCTAAGAAAGTATGACTTGCCAAAAGTCACCCAGCTGGGTGCCATGCTGAGCAGGAATTTGAACCCTATTCTTCCAGAATTTTAGTCCAGCACTCAAACCACTGTACTACATTGGCTCTCAAGATGCCAGAACTGAAACTTGCATATGTCACTGAGAGGAAGCCAGCCACTAAATTTCCAATTTGCAGGGGATCTGTTTCGGACCCTACTCCCCCACCCCATGAAAATGGCAGCTTGCAAATAATTGAGCCCCATTGAAAATAATGGTATGTGCACCCATGGCATGCATGTGGGGCCACACATGGGTGCGCACCCCATTTTGTCCCCCTCCGTTGGTCACCCACGAATGGGATGCAGACTTTACATCCGCAAAAATGGAGGGGCGACTGTACTTCTATCCAGAGATTCTACTGATAAGTTTGTGAACCTTCCCAGGAGTCTGGTACATATGACGTTTGTAAAGTATGTACTTCCATGTATGTAACTTTTCCTGGCTTGCAAAACCATTATTTCTTGCTTGCAAAATCTCCACTTGCAGTGAGGAAGCAAACTTATTGGTTATTTTCAAGATCTTAAGAGTCATTAACTTTTTAGAAAAGTTACTATGTTTGTTTAAATATTTTCTTCTATAATAAATACCAGGTTGTCTCTTGCGTTCCTTTTGGAAGCTTGATGACTCTGGTAAATGTGACTTTCCATGCAATATATGCAAAATCAAACTTTCCATGTAATACATGCGGAACCAAACTTCCTAATATATTTTCTACCTGGCTGGAAAAGATGCAAGGAAGATAGACTTTATTGTTTTTTTCTGTGATCTCAAAAATTGATCTTCCATTTAAAATGTTATTTATATTTTATTAGACACATGCATGCTATACCTAAAGCCCAATTTCTCTCCTGCTTTCTTTCTGGATGCTGGTGGCTCTGATGTCAATGGGGTGGTGAATCTATTCTGTGTTTTAGGCTTAATTTTAAGGAGTTATCCAAGGTGCTTGACCTTATCTCCCAAACAGGAAATTGTTTTTTTAATGGTCAGAGGAACTAAAAAAGATTAGATTAATGAAAAGAAGTGTAAATACACCAAACACCATAGTCCCAAAAAAATGAAAAAGAAGAGAAATGCACAAATAATCAGTATATAATATAATGTAAACAATATACCGTATATTCAAACTACTAATAGAAGTACACTTTACTTTTGTAGCTTTGACTTTTGTGGGTTTGATTATTCACAGATTTTATTAATATGTTCTCTCTAAGATTTCTCCAGTGCAACTCTGTAGTCAACTTTAACCAAAAGACACATTGAAGGACCTTGGGATTCCTAGAGAGAACACTCCACTAGGCATTTGTAGCTCCTCCGGTGCAATTCTATGGTCAATGTCTGGCAGATGTTGACCACAGAGTTGCACTGGAGGATGCAGAGATTCCTACAGAGGTGTTCCCTCAGGTAAAAACATAGTGTTTTTGTTATTTGAGGTTTTTCCACATTCATGGGGATCCTGTGCCCCAGCGAATGTGGAGGGATGAGTGTATAATGGGTAGAGAATATGGACTTCTAGTATCTGTCCATTTTGACAATCTAACTCTTCTTCAGACTTTATAATAAACATGAAAGTA